CATGTCAACGGAGTAGCAATATTCAAACATTTAGTCTGTAATTCTCAGAAACATAGATGTGCAATGGCCTCCCGAGTGCTGGGATTAAAGGCATATACCACCTGACTAAACTGTGTTCTTTTTTTTTGGTGGGGGATGCTTATAACTCTTGATGTAACTGAAAATTTGCTTGATTCTCACTGCAGAGTCCAGGAAATGTTTTTATACCCATTAGCATTCACAAACTACGGGCATGTGAGCCATGAAGACAGTTCATCAGGTAAAGGTGTCTGCATCAAGGCTGGATGCCTGGGTTCAGTCCCTGGGACCCATCATAGTGGGAGTAGAGAATCAACTGTCCAAGCTGTGCTCTGACCTCCCCATGTATGCAGTGGTGCGTGCTACCCCTATACACACATATGCACACAAAATAAATGGATACATGTAAAAAGTTCATTTTAAGAGCAAAAAACTGTTGACATGTCTAACGTCATCTCCCCCCTTATCTAGTTTTAAAAAATGAAAACAACCTCTACACTATAAAATAAATGTTAGAAAATTCAGTACAGGAACAGGGATGATGACTCCGTTGCTAAAATACCTGCCTTGTAAGCACAGGGACATGAACTCAATCTTGAGACCTCCTACACAACCTAGGCACAGCAGCTTCAGTCTGTGACGTCAGCATTGGGGTGGTGAAGACAGGAAGCCCCCTCAGGCCTGCTGGCCAGGCACGCTAACAGGTTCAGTGGAGGCCCATCTCAAAAAAAAAAAAAAAAAAACCCAACAACAACAACAAAAAAAAACAAGATTGTGGAGTGCCTGAGGGAGACACAGGATGTCAACCTCTGGTCTCCACAGGCATGGGCTCACATGTGCAAGTGCCTTTCCCAAGCATGTATGTCTACACACACACAAGGAAATCCAGAGCAATTCTAGGATTTTGGTGATTACATCAATGTATGCAAATGGATTTGGAAAACAACCGTCACGATTTCCTGGCTCTTTTGGAGCCCTGTAAATATATGATTTGTTGGTTTGTTGGGCCATCTAGTGTTGAGCCGCTTCTCCCCCAAGATTCAATGAGCCAGAGTGTAAACACCAAGTACTAGAAGAGGTAAGGACCAAATGTCTGTGTGAAGCTGTTAAGTGGAGGTAACGGAGATGGTGGAGACCATAGCACATTTCTGGAGCACTCTCCTTTAAGAGCAGCAGCTCTGAGCTGGGCGTGGTGCTGCATGCCTTTAATCCCAGCACTCGGGAGGCAGAGGCAGGAGGATCTCTGTGAGTTCCAGACTAGCCTGGTCTACAAGAGCTAGTTCCAGGACAGCCTCCAAAGCCACAGAGAAACCCTGTCTCGAAAAACCAAACAAACAAAATGGAGCAGCAGCTCTGATCAGTTCTGCTAAGAGTGAACGGAGGCCAGAGAAGGCCAGATCTGACTGTGTAAGAGAATCATATGCATTCACGAGGTGACTCCTAGAAACTTCTTAGTCAGTAACATAACTACTAAGTTATGTTCACGGCACTTGCTGGGCCAATAAAACTCAGGCTGGAACAAAATCCAGGTGGGCAGGTCCTGGTTTATAACCTCACCCATGAGTGTTCTAATGGCTTCTGAGATTTTGAACTGATGCCAATTCGGATTAAACTCACCATCATTTGACAGGGTAGGTTCTCTGAGATGAAAGGACAATGGGGACATCTCCAAGGTCTTCCCATTTAGAATGTGCGATAGATATGGTAACTCAAGATGTAAAAAAAAAAAAAATGGTGCTGTGGAAACTGGCTGCAGCTTCTCTACTAAGCAGTCAAAATCTCTACAGTAAACTACGCATGTTCCAAGCACTATATTCAAGTAAACAACATGACACATGCCAAGCAACACTCCTTGGACTGCACTCCAATGAACTACGTAGCACATGCCAAGCAACACTCCTTGGACTGCACTTCAATGAACTACATGACACAGGCCAAGTACCCACAGTTTACTGAGGGAAGCTGAAGAGGAACTCAACCTGGATGGAACCTGGAGGCAGGAGCTGATGCAGAGGCCATGGAGGGGCGCTGCTTACTGGCTTGTTCCTCACGGCTTGCTCCGACTGCTTTCTTCTAGAATCCAAGACCAGCAGCCCAGGGATGGCCCCACCCATCATAAGCTGGGCCCTCCCCCATTGATCACTAATTAAGAAAATGCCCTACAGGCTTGCCTGCAGCTCCATCCTATAGAGGCATCTTCTCAACTGAAGCTCCTTCCCCCCTGATGACTTTAGCTTGCGTCAAGTTGACAGAAGACTTAACCAGCACACATTGCAATTGGTTCCTCTTACTTTTGACCTTAACACTAAGACAAATTCCATAACTACCCTATTTCTAGATCTAGTTAACCACCTTTATAACCTTTTTGGAGCTTTTTGGAGTGGGGGTTTGGGTGCTAGAGATAGGGTTTTTCTGTGTAGCCCTGGTTGTTCGGAAACTCGACTCTGTAGACTAGGCTGGCCCAGAACTCAGATTTACCTGCCTCTGCCTCCTGAGAGTCGTGATTAAAGCCTGCTTACTTTTTTTTAAAATGGGGTCTCATTACAGAGCCCGAGCCAATCTCGAAAGTGGGATCCTCCTGCCTCATCCATCTGATGGTTGGGATTAATACAGTTTTGCCCTCTCTTTCTCCCTCCCTCTCTCCCATTTCTCCTTTGCTCTGTCTCTTTTCTCGCTCATGTATTTTTAACAGCACAAAATTGTTTTTCATCTCACTTACAGAGTCGTTTTCTAACAATTACATAGACCATTTTAATTGCAAATGCAGTGCCTCCAAATAGCTAGGCAAATTAGCATAAACACAGAACCGAAAGCTGTCAGGGTAGTCTTAAATTAAGCAGGCTACAAGAGGAGCTTGTGGTTAGCAAGGAAGGTTAACCACAGACAACTCACATAAGTGCTATGGTCGTTCTGGCTCTTGGCCGCTTACAGCTGTGCGCACTTCTTCCTCGGCAAAGAGCGCTCCTGGAACCCCGTGCTCTCGATACACACCTGCCGGGAGAATGAGTGAATGAATGAGGAGGCTGGCTCTGCTCACTTTCCGTTTGCATTCATTCTGCTTCTCTCTCTCTCTCTCTCTCTCTCTCTCTCTCTCTCTCTCTCTCTCTCTCTCTCTCTCTGTGTGTGTGTGTGTGTGTCTTTGGAGAGTCCCGTTTCTCCATCACTGTGGGCTTTGGGGTGGAACTCAGGTCATCATTGCTTGTGCAATGAATTCCTTTACCCAATGGAACCATCTCGCCAGCCTACACCATGTACTCATCTAGATGCCTCCTCTGGCTGATGTTGTTAATAGGCTGATTTGATCATACCATCCCTCAACTAAAATAGTTTGCACTGCAGTAGGTGGTGTGCCCTGCCCCCAGGGCGGGGGTGGGTATGGCATTTGTGTGGCATTCAGAGGACAACTTTCAGATGTCAGCCTTGGCCTTTCCATTTTGTTTGAGACAGGGTCTCTTTCCTGTGGCATCGTACAGCTAGATGGTCCTCTAACTTCTGGAGAATCCTCTTTGTGGTAGTTTGAATGTAATTGACACCTAAGTTCACAGGGAGTGGCACTATTAGAAGGTGTGGCTTTTAAGTAGGTGTGGCCTTGTTGGAGGAAGTGTGTCATTGTGGAGGCGGGCTCTGAGGTCTCATATATACTCAAGGCACAGGCAATGTCACCTACAGGATCACAGATGTAGGATCCTCAGCTCCTTCTCCAGCACCGTGTCTGCCTACCCACCACCATGTCCCACCATGATGGTAATGGACCGAACCTCTGAACTATAAGCCACCTAATTCAATGTTCTTCTTTATAGGAGTTACTGTGGCCGTGGTGTCTCTTCACAATGATAGAAACCCAGACTAAGACACTCTTGTCCCTACCGTACTCATCATAGAGCTTTACTTAGGTTCTGGGTACCCAAACTCAAGTCATCAGGTTTACATGGCAAGGGCTTTTCCTCACTGAGCTGTAAATGAAATCATTGTAAAGTCTTGTTTCCATACTATTTTCTTTTTTTTTTTTTCCCTGAGGGTTTCATAGGCACACAGTGGACTCTGATCATAGTCATTTGCTTCGAATTTAAACTGTTGTTACTGATACTACAATAAGTCCATCCTTCTGCCCCCATTCAAGTGGCTCACCTCCTACAATACATACCCATGACCTTTTTATGTCACTGACAACCAAATAAATCCTCCATGCATGAATTGGTGCAGCTGATAGCTCATTTCCTTAGTGAAACATTCCTTGGGCGTGATCAGCTTACTTTGCATTTATATTTATCTAGTGAATAGCGCAACACCTGGCTCCCTGGCTCATCCCCAGATCACACCAATAAACTCTCTAGAGGAATGAAACCTTTCCCCAGGGACAGGAAAGAACAGGAAACCAGCTGCAAAGACAAACAAACACACATACACCTTTTTTTTTTTTTTTTGGTTGTCTGAGATAGGGTTTCTCTGTGTAGCTTTGGAGTCTATCCTGGCACTCACTCTGTAGCCCAGGCTGATCTCGAACTCACAGAGATCCGCCTGCCTCTGCCTCCTGAGTGCTGGGATTAAAGGCGTGCACCACCAACGCCCGGCTCCTCTTTTCTTTAAATGCAGTGGAAGACAGCCTTTTACTGGCTGTTTCCACTTTCTCTCCTCATAAGGTAATATGCTCCAGCCGTAGGAGACTCTGTCAATCTTCAATACTTGCTTCTCTGTCCCAAACATGGTAGTAGTAGATGCTTTAACATTCCTGGCACACAATGAGATCCTCTGGTAAAAAGTTTTGCCTAGGCAAATGTATAGAAATGCAATTGGAATATTGTTTCCTAGTGGAGGTATTTATGAAGAGCAAACACTCAGTAAGCGTTAATGATCCTCATTCGGTTAGTGTGCTACCCTTAGTTTCCTCATCAGAGCAAAACACCTGACAGAACCTGGGCGAGCGGGGAGGAATTGTTTATTTTGCTCATCATAGGCATCTGGTTGCCTGGCCCCAGGTGCTTGAACCGACTATGAAGCTTTGTGGCTGGAGGAGGCTCTGTGCACAGAACACAACCCACAAGAGTTCATACCGAGGTGGGCAGGAACGCAGCAGGGGGTAGCTATACCAGGTGTGAGCATCATACAGCCAAGGACACACCCATCCCGTGGCCAACCAGGCCTCACAGCTCTACCGACTCCCTGCAGCCCGTTGAAATTCTGAACCTACCAATGGATCAACTCATCGACTAGGTGAGAGCTCTGATGTTCTAATTGTCTCTTCAGAGGTCCTCACCAACACACCCAGAGGTGAGCCTGACTAATCCTCTAGGTTCTTCTCTGCCCAATCAAGCTGACAATTGAAACTGCCCTTCTCAGTCAGGATCCGAAGTGTTTCACATCCTCCGTGTTACGAGTGAAAGAAGGCACACAAGATGCTTTGGGAACAAACTCTCCCCAGTGGCTTATCCAATAGGGTCTATGTGTATGGACTGATGTTGGTGCAGTTCCAGAACAAATCCCTTCATGGATATTAACTAAGTGAGGAACATGAAAGGAAACATGAGTCTTGTGAAAGCCAAGGTTCTTAAATTTCATCATCAGCTCAGATTGTTTTATGTTTATTGGGTGGGGCCTGGATTTGCACCAACATGTCTTCAATCTGAGTTCCAGGGGTATTTCAGTATTGTCAGCTGTTTTGAAACCGATTCGGTGGCCTTCAAGACTATCTCCCTCCTGTATGAAACAGGGAGCAGACACAGCCTCTGCTTCCAAAGGGAGAAACCCTAATTGGAGTGGTTTGTTAAAAGGAGCTGAGATAGAATCTAACGGGCGTTCAAAGGAACTATAATATGAGTTTGCCCTGGAAGGAAGCTCATAGGAATTTGTAGTGTTTCCTGCACAAGTCACAACCTTCTTCATAAACAGCTAGTGATGGTGACCATCCACAGCACATCCATTTACATTTGCAGTATGTGGTTACATACATACATACATACATACATACATACATACATGCATACTTGCATAAGTATGATAAGGCTATTTGTGAGTTCCCACGTGCACGTGCTGGCTGAACTCTTTTTGCTTTGTAAGTACTGTGTGCAATGCCCCGCCTCGCTTGAATGGCTCGCAAACCCTTCCAGGTGCAGGCTTCTGCAGTCATTTTCTTGTCCAGATGAAGGCAAGAGCTCCATCCCCCATTGTCCTAGTAGTGTCACAAGGCAGCTGCGTCTGCTTAACATCTCGTTTCTCCATTTGTAAATCATTTCAAGTTGTCTTGTTCTGTGGTGTCTTTTGAGCACCCAGAAAGTTGACTTTGTCTTGCGATGAGAAGGAATCAGTGAAAGTGTGTGGACCGGGAGAAACTAACAGTCAGCAGGGAGCAGTAGGTCCTGGGAGGTACCGAAACTTCCCCTAAGATCTCCCCCATCGAAAAGCACAAAATCGAGGGACCGTGGTGGCGCAGCCTTTAATCCTGAGCATCCCAGAAGCAGAGGCAGCTGAATCTCTGAGTTAGAGGCCAGTGCGCTCTACAGAGCGAGTTCCAGGATGACATGGCTGTTATACAGAGAAAAACCCTGTCTCCAAAAAAACCAAACCAAACCAAACCAGCAAACCACCATCACCAAAAACCAACTTTCAAAACCATACAAAACTGCTTTGTTCTAGATACCGTCTCATTACAAAGTTGAAAACAAAGGAGAATAAATAAGAGGAAAGCTGTGTGGTAGCCTGTTTATCTGACTGCAAATTTCATACTCAGTTCCTAATGTCTCTGTGGGCCCTACTCCCTATGTCTCATATCCAATGGGGAAGTGGTCAGTTACTGCGTTACAGCTATTTCACTATTGTGCCAGGGGTGTTGGAGGATGCAGGGTTTGGTGCTTGGCGGCCATCACTCATGTCTTTTCTCCGCCAGCAGCCAGGGTGGCGCCTTCCTGCCCTGTGAAAGCAGCGAGGATGCACTCAACCTACGCGAGATTCATTTCTTTATGTCCTGCAGCCCAAGTGAGTGATGTCTTCATCAAGAGGGTCTTTGTGACGGCGATTCACGTGCAATTTAGAACTGAGTGAAGAACCTGCACGTCCCCTAGGACGGATCAGGGGACTTCTCCATGTTGCAGGTTACTAAAGCAAGGCATGGCAACAGTGATGAATGGGGAAGGCTTGGGCCTGAGAAAGCCCATGGATTGCTTCGTAAATGTATCGTGCCTGGCTGCTGGTTGCAGGGATTTGAGTACAAAATGCACCACATAGGCTTGTATGCTGAATGCTTCTTTCCCAGCCCGCGGTGGTATTTTGGGAGGTGTTAGAAGCTAGGCGATGGGACCTAGCTGGAGGAAGTGAGTCCCTGAGGCTTGCTTGCCTCTGAGAGCATAGGTCTGGTTCCAGGTCCTTAGCTCTCTACTTCCGGGAAATAAGGAGGCAAGCGCTTCATCTGCTCCATGTTCAGGCAGCCATGACACTCAGGCCCACTACAGACTCTGAGTGGCACCAAAGACCGCAGACGGGAATCTGTGAAACAATGAGAAAAATAAAGAATTCTCTTTAAGGTACGGAGATCACGGCAAGCCCAAGTCCCTTGGCACTAAATCCCTTCTCAAGACGACTAAACAGGAGTTGTTGCATCCTTAGAGGTTTTAAGACTCTAGTAGTTTTGTTTTTAGATGGGCAGGAAGGCACCACGAGACTGAGAGCATCAGGAGTTTGACTCGCCCCCGTGATCTTCAGAAAGGAAGTTTTGTCCTCTCCTCTCACGCTCGTGCGCGAGTGAAAAGAGCCTGTCTGTGACACACTGGAAGTGTAGCTGAGGGAACAGGAAGCTTAGCATGGTAGAGGGCCTTGGGCTAGTCCTGGGCACCATAAAATAAAAATAAAATCGTTAATAAGAGGCAGAAGTGCCGGGCGTTGGTGGCGCACGCCTTTAATCCCAGCACTTGGGAGGCAGAGACAGGCGGATCTTTGTGAGTTCGAGACCAGCCTGGTCTACAAAGTGAGTTCCAGGACAGCCTCCAAAGCCACCGAGAAACCCTGTCTCGAAAAACCAAAAAAAAAAAAAAAAAAAAAAAAAAAAAAGAGGCAGAACTAAGGGATATGGTAGAGGACTTACTGAGGTTTGAGGTGGTGACCCCCAGAGACCTTAAGATTTTAATTCGTTTCTGGCGATTGACTGACTCATGGGACAATTTCTTGCTTACTTATTTATAGACATCTGACTCACTCTCTAAGAGGAGCGGACTCCATGGAACCCACACAAGAAGCTGGGTGGTGCGTCCTAGCCTTGGGGAGGCAGAGGCAGGAGGATTTCTGGGGCTCCTGGGCTAACCCACCCACCTGTGCTAGTTGGGGATGTCCAGGCCAATGCCACCCTGTCTCACAGATCTAAGTGGGACACTCCTGAGGAGTGACAGCTGAAGTTTGTCCCCTGACCTCCACACGTAACGCACATGTGTACATTCATACATACCCTCTCCACACACAAACACAGGTGGATGTCCTGCTTCTGCCATCCAAACATGGGACTGCCGTCCCTCACTCTCTTCTCCACATTCCCTATAAGACTCTCGACAGGCGCTGGGCTCTGCATTTAGATGAGGGACCTTGGTGCATGTCTTCTGTAGGTTGCAGCTACTCATGGATCCGTCAAGTGAAGCCCCCAAGACTAGAAGTCAGTAGGGCTGCTGTAGGCCTCGGGAGCACAGGAGTGAGAGGCTGAGGTAAGCGGCTCAGACTTTCTTGCTAAGTGGTGGGATGGATGCTTGGTGATGAGGGGGCCTCCCATGACACCAAAAGCCATGAACATACTGTGGGTACCCCACCCACCACCCAGGTCGTCACTTAACCTGCCCCACATGGACCACCCACGCAACTAGGAAGAGAGATGGTGGAAAACACTGGAAACCCGTGGTCTCATCACCTGAAAACTCAGTCTGAGCTGTCATTCCTGTCAACTAAATCTCTCTCACATCCTCTTTAGCTTGTTATTTCTAACAACCTATCTGGTTTTGATTTTTCTTTTCAGAAGACAAGTGAGTTTGTGTGTAGACTATACTGACAACGAAATAATGTCATACTGAAACATGCATTAAAATCATGCACTTAGCAGCAGCCTGCCCTGAGGGAATGTAAACTGTTGTCAGACCTGCACGGCTAAAGCAGCAACCTCTGGATCTTCGGGATTTTATTGCCATCTGCTGGTCACATTGATGTCTGCAGCCAAGACCGGGCCAACTTGGCGGTCCTCCTCTTAGAGGCAGCAAAAGGCAACCGTAAGCCCACCGCTAGAAGGGCGACCTCTAGTGCACAGACCTTGACATTTTCCCTTTTTATGGAATTTGCAAAGGTTCAGGATGCCATTCGGGCAAGTTACAGTTAGAGGGTAAAAATCAAAAGCTCTTAGCTATGTCCAACTCCTTTTATTCTAAAAAAAAATGTCCTGTGTAATAGAACTAGACTGATGGTAGCAGCCTACTTTATAGATGTATTATTTTGAATTCACGTGTTGTTTTATAATAATTTCTTATTAAGAACTCTAGACTCAGGGCTGGAGACATGCTCAGTAGTTAAGAGTGTGTATTGCTCTTGCAGAGGACCTGAGTTTGGTTACCAGTTCCCACGCTGGTCAGCTTACAAACACCTGAAACTCTAGCTATAGGGGGTTTCTGACGCCCTCTTCTGGCCTCCACGGGCACTGCACTTGCCATGATTGCCATGATGGGAGCATGCACTTTCCCTCTCCCTCTCCCTCTTTCTTCCTCTCCCTCTCCCCCTCCCTCCCTCCCTCCCTCCCTCCCTCCCTCCCTCCCTCCCTCTCTCTCTCTCTCTCTCTCTCTCTCACACACACACACACACACACACATACACACACCCCAATAAAATAAATCCAGCAAGAAAAGAGCTCTAGAGTAATAGGTGGGTTAAAGCATAGACTTTACTCCTGCTAACATTTGTGTAGAGTAGATTTCTTGGCTTCTCCATGTCCTGGTTTCCTTGACTTAAAGTGGGGACAACTGTATCTATGCCACAGATTAAAACAGTGCTTGAGGCGAAATGTAGCACTTGACCAGTGTTACCTGTTTTGATGAACTGAAGACTAAAGTAAACCAAAAGTTGTAATTTGTGCATTCTGAGATGACATTGGTCACCAGAGCATCTGTTTTTGGTGGCTGAGAGAAAGCTGAAGATGGGTGGCTTGTTCCGAGGATTCAGAAGAAAGAGAATTCATAGGAGTCCAATGCTGGGCACATGTTTTCTTCTCCAGACATTTGGTGTTGTTCTTTTTTCTTTGTTTGTTTGACAGAATCTCACTATGCAGCGCTGGCTATCCTGGAACTCCCTTCATAGAACAGGCTAGCCTCCAACTCACAGAAATCTGCTTGCCTCTGCCTTAAAGGTGCTAGGATTAAAGGTGTGTGGCAGCATGCCCAGCTATTTGGATAATCTTAAGAAGACCCGAGTTAGAGAGGTGAGAAATTGAGCAAGAAAAGGCTGGCAAGCAGTGAGTCCGAACTTTATGCATAATAAGCATTTCTGACTGGCACACCTTCAACTTCCTAACCTGCATGAAGATCAGACCACAAAACGCATCCAGGACTCTGCCATGTCTCTCTTGGTCAGTTACTTCACAGATAGTCATTAATCTCACATTGGCTGCCTCGAGTTCATTTTGCTAGTTTTTAAAATATAAGAGTGGAATCATGTCCTACGGATTCTTCTGCTTGTGGGTTCCCCCCCTCATCTTTAAGTCTAGGAGTCATCCATGTTGCATACATCAATACTGATTATGCAAAATATGTCATGGACTCTGTCTATTAGTCTTCTACAATCTGTCTACAAACTCTTGGTGCGAATTTGGATCGTGTGCATGTTTTTTTTTTGACTACTTTGAATAAAGCTTGCATAAGCATTCCTGCAGACATATTTTTGATGGATAGAGCACTCATTTGGCTCACTATGTACCTGGAAGTAGACTTGCGAGGCAATTGGAAATATGTGGGTTTAGTCTTAGAAAATTTTATGCAATGTCTCCCAGAATGGTGCACTAATTTACAGCTTTACAGGAGCGCTTGGTCTGAAAAAATATTCTTCTACTGCAAAGTCACAAAGCAATTCATTTGCTCTGAAACCACACTCTCAAGCTTGGATTTGTGGCTTCTGAGATGTGTATCTCTTTCAGCTTCTCCCCCATTTTTTCCCACCTCTCTGTGCTTCCGCCTTCAACATTGCTTCCATCCATCAATGGGATGGCTTGTATTTGCATACTTCTATTTGATAATCACCTCATTATTTCTGCCAATCGATAACAACAATGAAATTCATAAAACAAATCTCTAGCTGGGTAAGATTTTTTAAAAGTTTACATTGAAACTATAAATCAGTTGGAAGATTTTTGACTGGGGTTGTAGTGAACATGTTGGCAATTTGTGTTTGCCTTGCGTGGTTGTGGCGGTGCAAGATGCCAAGGTGTGTGTGGAAATCAGAGGAACTCCAGTGGAGTGGGTTCTCTCTTCCTATTCTATGTGAGTTCTGGGGTAGAGTTCAGGTCCCCAGACTTGTACAGCAGGTGCCTTTGTCTGCTGAACCATCTCACAGGTTCATAATCATATTTTTAAATGTTGGTAATATCTGTAGTTATGTCTTCTTTCATTCTTTTTTTTTTTTTCTTTCGAGACAGGGTTTCTCTGTATTGTTTTGGAGGCTGTCCTGGAACTCACTCTGTAGAGCAGGCTGGCCTGGAACTCACAGAGATCCGCCTGCCTCTGCCTCCTGGCTGATGGGATTAAAGGCTTGTGCCACCAATGAATGTCTGTGTTTGGGGAGGTGGCGTGGTCTGTTTGAGAAGTTCCCTAATAGGTGATGCCTTCCAGGAGAGGCCAGCAGGGGCTCATGCCACATGGGTTGGAACTAAATCCTCTTATTTTCAGTGTCTGGCACACAGACAGTGTCCCATGAATACAGAGTAAATAAACAAGCAGGAAGGGTGTGAACTGAGGTTATCAGACTTCAAATCCAAGTCATTGCAGAAACTGCGTTTGCTTTTAGTCCATTCGGAGTTCAGGTTCTTTATGCCAAGTCCAGGGTAGAGCCTGGTAAATAACCCCAAGGAGGTTCTAGATGATCAGAGAGGCCATTGCCAAGCCTGGACTTCCTCCCATCTATTCACACTTCTGCTCTGCTTCTTTTTACTCTATCCAACCCATTTTCTTTGGTGAGGACTTTGGTTTCCATCTTAAAGTCTGGGGACCATAAGCCTTGAAATCTGTGAAATGTTGTATCCTTAGAGAAAGCTGGGGGCTTGTCGACATAGTCTCGCCCCCCCCCCATTCCTCCCTGTCATGCTGTGTCTAACCCAATTAACCAGGGTGGAGAAGGCAGGGAGTTTCGGGGGAGCTCAAGGGCTAAGGGGGTATCATCTCTCTTGGGTTGTTTCATAGCAGAAAGAAGGCAGTTCCTTTTGAATTATTTTGAACTTTAATAAAGTGACCACATTAATAGTCCAGCGAACAAAGCCTTCACTTTAGTATGCTGTCTTCTACAAAACACACAACATATTTCCAAAATCTTGTCCTCTTTTTTGGCAGGTTTGTTAACAATTATTTTTCTTTCTCCCTTTTCTCATTTCTTCTATTGACCTTCGTCAGATTTCCACTTTAACCACCACAGACATTCCTTTATATTTAGTCCAAATGAACAAAAGCATGTATTCACAAAGGAGACCAAGAAGACAGTAAGAAAAGATAGTAAAATAAAACAATTCCACTTTATTGAATGATGTAATTTTTTTGCAGTGTCAGGAATGGAATCTAGGTTCTTTACATGACAGGCAATTTCTCTGCCACTGAGCCACATGTGCACATAGGTATGCGTGTCTCATAGCTACTTATTAACATTGTCTTAGGTCAGAGAGTTGATTGCCCCAACTGGACTTACACTGTTCCTGTGAAAGGTTATTTCCTCCCCCAATCTCCCTTCTCTCTGTCTCCCATTCTCTCTCTCCTCTCTTTTTTCCTTTATAGCAGGCAAGGTACGTATTTTCTATTTGGAAGGCATGGAGCTGACAGGGTAGAGAAGGGAAGAGGAGAGAAGAGAGAGAAGAGAGAGAAGAGAAGAGAGAGAAGGAAAGAGGAAAAGGGGAGAGGAGAAGGGAAGAGGGGCAAGTCAAGTGACTTGGGTTGGTTTGAGAGAGCCCTGTCCTGCTTCCAGTGAGCTGATCCCCAGCAGGGTGGGCTGACAGGGAGCTGAGGGAGGCACAGACCTGATTTCTGAAGGAGAGGGAAAAAGTCACAGCAAGGATGCAGTATTTGAGAAATGTCCATCTTCTTTGTGATTTACTAATCACCTGCAATCTTCCCCACAGAACAGAACCCAAACCTGCTGAGGGCCATACGGTCAATCTAGGCAAAAATAAGGACACAGATGGAGACTGTGAGTGAGGAGCTCAGGTGAGGCCAGGAGTAGGTTTGGTACACATGCACCCTATGCGGTTACCATCTGCTAGGGTGCTCTGGACGGGGGTAGGCTTCTAACCTGGGCCCAGCGTTCTGGCAGACATGGTGGAAAGAGACAGATGGCCACCAATAAAATCTGTGTGAATTAGAGCTCAGGGGATGGACCAAAGACATATATTTAGAAATAGCTTTTTATGTAGTTCTGATGTGTGTTTACGTCATTAGCCTAGAGTTACTTTCTGTCTCTGCTCTCTGGACAGGGATGTTCCTTGTAGACATTCTTTTTTTTTTTTTTTTGGTTTTTCAAGACAGGGTTTCTCTGTGGCTTTGGAGGCTGTCCTGGAACTCACTCTGTAGACCAGGCTGGCCTCGAACTTACAGAGATCCGCCTGCCTCTGCCTCCCGAGTGCTGGGATTAAAGGCGTGCGCTACCAACGCCCGGCATCATTCTTATACTGCTCTTTAGGCGATGTCATGCTACACATTCTAGACGAGGCCTGGGAAAAGCCTTTTGCAGCAGCATCAACTTTGAAAGGAATTTGCTTCCATTGATAACTATCAGACGACCCAAGTGGGATAATGGGAAGAAGCTGTGGAGAATTCCGGGGTAGAATAGACCTTCCTGTAAGAGCTGAATAGTCTAGAATTTATAATTTCAGACATCCATAAAGATAAGCTGAGGAGTCCACAGATTTTATTTTATATGTACGCTATTTTGTTTTTTAGACAAAGTTTTGCAGTGCAGAGCAAGGTGGCTTCAAACTCCTGATCCTCCTGCCTCAGCCTCTTGAATGTTGAGATCATAGGCCTATGCCATCATGCCCAGCCGAGGTCCCTGAGTTTTCATTGTGATAGTTATTTAACAGAATTCTCAGTTCTTAAGGGGAAACGTGTGTTCATCGATTGGGCCAAACCTTGGTGAAGCCATTGGATTTTATATGCTTGAATCTTGCTCACTTGGGAACTCATACTTTATAACCACTCAGAGAAGGCTTCCAGGGGCTAGATGCCATTGTTAGCACTGTTTCAACCTTATGTTAAGTAGAGAGAATGAGCTAAGAAGGTCATATGTATTCCCTCCGGGTCTGCCCCAGAGATCATGGACGTGAGGTGTGGGTTGATTTTCCTGAGTGATTTACGGTAATAGGGCGGCATCAGAATCCGTAGTGCATGGTTCTGGCCACTCTCTCTGATGTCACTGTAAGTGAAGTGGCTCAGAAGCACAAAAGGCCACATGAGGCATGTACACAGAATCGGCTGACGGTGTTTGTAACGGTACCGAGTGTGCCTGGTGACTGTCCTCGCCTCTTCTCAGAAGCCCGGTAA